CCCCAAAACCCCAAAACCCCAAAACCCCAAAACCCCGTAAATTTTTATTAAATTTGAGTTAAAATTATTTTATAACTTTATTTTCATGACAACTTTATCACCAACAAGGTTTTATCAGGTATCTTAAGGAAGTAATGCCTAAATTTAGCAGAATGACCAGAATTCAGTCTCTGAGAAGACCATTTCCAAGTATTATGACCGAAAAATGTATGGTTTTATTCAATAAAATTTAAATGGGCTTTATGAGTGTTTTTAACTGATAATTCAGTTATCTTCCATAATTTACCCCCAATTTAGGGTAAATTTCTTCGAAGATTAATCTTCTGACCTCTTTTTGAGATTTTTGAAACTACCAGAGCATATTTAAACTCTAGTATAAATCAACTTTAATGGCTATTGATAGGAAGGAAATTGAAGAAACTAGGAAAGAAAAAAGAAGAATGAGGAAGGGCTTGCTTACCCTCAGAAGTGATTCTTATTGTGGTTGTAAGTCAAATATTGTTATGTTTAGCTCAAGAAATGGACATTCAACACAGAACCCTTGCTTATCCAGTTGATAAAGCTCAGAAGATCCAAGCTGCTCGCGGTAGATTTATGAAGAATAATATAAATTTACACCCAATGTTCAGAAAATAGCAGGAAGTAGGCTTTGTTAGTTACAGCTTAGATCACTAGGAATTATTAAGAAGAATAATGAGCTGGCTGCCAATAACAGCACACAGAAATTAATCCGCTTGATCAAGAAGATCAAGGAAACTAGAGTTAAAAAAGGACAAAATGATAGCTTTAGTCCTACAAGACAGTAAATAGTTTCTTTAATTCTTAGAAAATCTGAGTTGGCTATTACTGACCAAAGCAACCTAGCTGAAGAGTTCACGCCCAAGTCACCTAATCTGAAGCCAGCTTTGAAGAATTGTCTGACAAATAAGGAGCGGGCTGAGAGACTTCAGGAGTTAAAATAAAAGGCGACAGGACAGAAGAAAGATTTCCTCTTTCCCTTTCAAACAGCGGGTGATGAATAGAAACGATTGTAACCATAAAGGCAATTTCCTACTAAACAGTGCACAAAGAGTAAGCTATCTTTTAAAAGCATTAAGAAAAACTTTCCAAAACAGTTGTCATATTATCTATAGCTTCCTGGTTTCAGCCAGACTATTTATAATCGAAAAGAGAGTGAAGGTAACCTCATTCATTCTGAAGATACTCTCTTGAATGGACAGAAGAACGGCAAAATTAATATTGAAGCTCAAGCTGCAGGCCTTAAGTAATGATATCCGTGACTTTAGAAAACCAAGGAACCAATATGGAATTGTTGTGACAGAGGAAAGAGAGATGATCCCTCCTCCTGAATTTTATAAGGTAAATTTCTAAGTAAAGAATTTAGAATCGGAAGAAACAAGGGAGATATAATGATGCACATATTAAAGAAACATGGGGAGAGCTCTTCCCTTATAAAGGCCTGTGGGAAGGCAAAGATGTAGCAGAGCAGCTTAAGGTAATATTATTAGTTGATTTTTCATAGAAATACTCTTTGAAAAGACATGGAATATTGTCCAATAGTTTAGACAGAAAGCATCTTCAAAAACCCAATAATTTCCTCAGAAAATCAGACCACATTTTTAAGCTTGTAGACTTCCAAAAGCACTCAATCTTAAGGGACTTAGAGATCGGACATTTTAAGGTCTAAGTTTCAATATTTCCTCTCTAAAATGGGGTTTTGGGGTTTTGGGGTTTTGGGGGTTTGGGG